CAAGTACTTTAAGCACAATCAAAAATCTAAATAAAGAATCTACAACAAACCAAAGAACCTTCCATTATTAAGTGGTGTCACTACACTACAAAACAATTTCTTTTCATTTTTTATTGAAAGTTGAGGATGATTACAATCCTTTTTCTTTTTTTCTTCTTCTAACGCAACGTAGAGTCACACATCAAATTAGCTTTTTTTTCTTCACTGTTATTGCAACACAATACTTTGCTTAAATGAAAAGTATTACCTTTTTAAGTTCAGTTAAACGAATTTTGATTTGTTGGGCTCCGGTCTATCCCCTTTTGAAGTTGCATAAATGGCGCTTTTTTTGAACTTTTTTAATAATTTCCCTCTTTTGTTTAAAGTTTTCAATAATAATTCATTTTTATCTTTTGTACGGATATTTCTCAATTGTTTTATTTTTTTTCTTTTGTGTTTTTGCATTTTTTATAACTCTCCGTAAGATCATACCCACACACAACGACGAGAAGCATATTAAAGAACTCGCTGGCAAATCAAAAAATTTTCCTAAGTGTGTAAACCAAAGCAATCGATTTGTAAGAGTTAACGTCAAAAGTTACATTATTCATCTCTCGTAACTTGGAAGTCAGGTACACGACCAATGTAGAGAATATTCCTTGAAATGAACGGGGCTATTTTCAATTAACAGCGTCTTGTGACTGTTACGAATGCCATCTAACCCTGGAGATGTGACTTTGAAGAGACTAAAGGCTTTATTGAGTTCAAAAAATCATATATCGCTTAAAAAGAAATTATCACATTGTTCACCCTGCGGTACAGACCAAAATGTCACAGAATTCATTGAAAAATTGCACGGGAACAGTGGGAGGGAGTTGTTCCTCTAAAAGTACCCTTTTTGCTTTCAATATCTTGAATTTGTCCACCTCTCATACTGGGAAACCGGCTGCCTTAGCAAACGTTGAGAGCATGATGTGGAGCTACAATCTCCATAGTGATTTGTTGATTGTGCGAAATATTGGAGAAGTATGAAATTAGGCTAGTATATGAGTTAGTATTTTTGCTTGAAACTTGTTTGAACTCCATCTAGTGGCTGCAAATCCGCGAAACGCTATGTTGTTCAGACAGGCAAAATACGACTGCTCTAGAATCGTTTCTGTCCAGATCCAGGTTATAATTTTAATGTAAAATCATTTAAGTTTGCGTACTAAATTTTCACCTTAACACGAGTTGCTGTTTGCTAAATCACTACGAATAATTCGCTAACAAACACGTCATATAATTAAAATTTATATTTTATTTTTCAACCATTGGTTTCATATAAACATAAAAATTGAAAAGAAAAAATCATATAATATATATACAACATTAATTATTTTCTTTTAAACGCTTATAAATTATTTTGTTCATAATATATATAAGACGCTACTCATTCTGTTTCTTATTTCAAAAATATAAAATATATAAAAATATGTAAAAGGGTAAGGAAAAAAGAATTTAAAAATAGTAATATAAAATGATTTCGATTGGAAAATTCAAAATCTCAAAATTTAGAAACACATGAAAGTGCACATATTGTTGCGCGATATAGAAATTTTAATTTGCTTTTCAAACCTATTAATATTTCTCGCTCACCTCAACATGCAAAATATCGAAATGAAATACTTTGGTTGTCGGCTTCTTCTTTCCAAAGTCTAAATAAAAATACTATATTCAATAATTTTTTCTCATTATATTTACTATTCACTTCTGCTTTTAAAATGCCTTAATTCAGTAACTATATATAAAGTATACGTAAAATGGCGCTTTATAATGGTAGAGTCATGAGCATTCCAAACTTTTTTAGTTCTTCCTATTATAGGCTGTGTACATGCATATGCATAACAAGATGAGAAAATTGGCAACGTATACTCATATATATATTTTGAACAGTGACAAAATACTTCAGAAAATACTTGTTTTTAAAGGATAGAACTAAATACTTTTTGCGATCAGAGGTCGATCTGCTTTCAGTTGTGTATCCTATAAAGAGTGTCTAAAAGTGATAAGGCTTGTTTGCAACGATGGATCTAGAAAAGCATCCAACCACAGCCAGGCTGTGAATTTTTATTACTTAGAAATTTTCTTCAAATTTATTTATAAACTCCTAATAAAGGTGTTAAAAACGGAATAAAAAATTATAGGTATAGAGAAAGACACACAATTAGTAATAAATCAATTCGCTAACAAACAAATGGCAAATCATACAAATTAACGAAAGTGTAAAGAAATCTTCGTAACGGTCACAATTGTTTTCTATTGTATAAAGATACGCGTAAGTAATTATATAAATATAACATATTTCATGTCCGGTCATATCAATATAATTGGATGAATGCACAAACTGCATCGCAGTCATGCAGGAGTGGCTAGTAAGTTTCTTTAAAGTTATAGATTACCTTCGTGTCGGTTACAGTTTAATTTGTTAATGATTCGATTAAAAGTTTTTACATGGTGTTGTAAGCGGCGGCATTGAAGGTTTGCTTTGGTAAACTTAGCCTAGCGAGTGGATGAGTTTTCCCATGTTGCTGCAGACGTCTTTGCTGGGAAGATGGTGGTTGCATTATAATGCCGTCTGATATGGTATTGGCGGTTTTAATTGGTCTTGGAGGCGGTCTACTTTCATTAAATTCATGCGGTTTTCCTATTAAAGGTCGTTGAGACTCATAATAAGATCTCGGCCGCGGCTTAAACGCAGCCGCAGTAACGACACCGGCCTGAGATGAACTGGGGTTATTGCTTCTAGTCTGATTTTTTGATTCAGCGGAAGTTTGGTATTTATGCACCAATCCTTTTACATTGTGGTCAGTGTAATCTTCTGCACCGGATGATATGAGAGGTGCTTTAGTCCCCTTTGTAGAAGAAATAGCTTGAACGCCAACGGTATCACCGAGAAAAGAAGATTTGGTCGATTGTTGACTAATGGTGGCTTGCTCATTACGGTGTTGTTCAAGGTAATTTGTGTGTTGGGCCACTGGCGAGGAGGGTAAAGATTGATGACTTTTAGTGACTTTATTGTAAATTTCGCTACCAGCAGCGGTCACTGACGCTGTCGGTGACGCGGAACCAGTTAATCCACAGATGGCCTTGGCTTCAAAGCTTTTCTTTAAAATTCTTACATTGCCTGAAACGTGATGACCTTCTTTAACTGTTGATATCGAACGCAGTATTACGTTTTCTTCGTCGCTGGCAGTTCCCGAACTTGACAAAGTATTTTTATTTTCAATATCTGACATTGTGTACGAATTCGGTACAGAAGCCGAAAATAATTCAGCATTCACAGGTCTGTTGCCATCGCTTCGTCTGCCTGCAAGTAAAGCCGGAGTATCACCATGCACAATTTCTTCACTACTGCAGCGTTGCTTATAACGAGTCCGGGATGTAACAGCGGAAATACTTCGAAACAAGTTAGCGTTTCGTTTGGATGTAATGCAATCGCAACTTATCTCCGTAGGATGCGTTGAGAATTCTTTTGAGGTGACACCATTTTCTCGGCACAGTTTTTTCAGTATCGAGCACTCTTCTAATTTTTGTTTGGTCCTTCTTACAGTGCCTAAGTGGTGTTGTTGGTTATTTTGATATGGCCGGGAATCGGCCGAGGCAGTCTTATTATTTACATTCAGTTCGTGTATTTGACCTTCAAAGATGGCATTAGCATTTGTTTGATTACTGGTTGTACATTGGCAATTGTTGCGGTTAGAGTCATATGCGGCCCAAGAACTATTACGTGCGGGTACTCCACATTTATTATCACCAGAACCCCAGGAAGCATGACGAGATGGCAACTCCCTTGGTCGCTGTCGGGTACGTACACAAACTTCAAAGGTAGTTGCGGCCGGCGCTGATGAATGGGTAGACACTGAATCGATGCTACTGTTGGAACCAAGTGTAAATGCATCCATTGTTATTCCACCACTTGTAGCAGCCCACGATTGTGTCTTTCTACTATGTTGACGTTTGTATTTGCTTTCCTCTTTGGTAAATAGTGCGCTATTTCTTGCAATATTCGAGGTCTGCGTTATTAGCTTAGCTGAAGAAGTCCAAACCGGGCTACTCAGCCTTTTAGTAGAAGCTGAAAGTCTTCTCTCAATACTTTTTGAAGAATCATCGTCAAGTCTTCCAAAAGACAACATCAGTGACTTTCGATCATCTGTTGATTTTCTTAAGTCTTGTAGTTGGTATGCCTCTAAACCGTGTACAATGGTACGCACGGAAGTAACTGGAGCTAAAGATATTTGTAATCTGTGCGGTATATGCTTTTGTATGTGCAACACTTGATTTTGTGTTACACTGTAATTTTCTCCATTACTGCCAGGAAATCGCACATTTTTTGGTTCATCCGCAATACTCCGCTCCGGCGTCAGATTTTCAAGACTTTGGCTTTGCTGTTTCATAACCAAAGCGGAACAATTTTGAGATTTTATGGACCTGGGAGATGTGCTGCTCGATCTTCGTCGTACAAACCTTTCAAGACCGCTGCCACCTACACTTCGCATTTTGTATGTGTCTCTTAGATTTGGCGCGTTTATTGATGCGCTATCCACAGCCACCCTTTCAATCTCATTGGCATCACCGCCAGACTTCGATTTCGAATGATTAAGAGCTTGAATGAGGGGTGTAGGCTCACTCCCAGGAAGCAAACGTGCATCTTTAGTGCTCTTGAGGTTCGTTTCACTCTTGCTACGTTGCAGTTTTTCTTTGTTTTTCATTGCGTCCAACATGCCTCGATAAGTTTCCAATTGATTAAGAAAATTTTTGTTGGGTTTTATACAATTACGACGTTCTTTAACATGCTGCAAAGCCTTCTGAAACTCCCAATTATAAGCTTTCATGGCGTATGCTATTACAACTGATGCTGAACGGCTTACACCCATTTTGCAATGTACCAGCACTTTGGATCCTTCGGCTTTTGCCCTTGTTATATATCGATATGTATTGTCCCAATACTTCAGCAAATTGGTTTTCTCATCGTCATAGACTCGCACGTTCAAATAATCGAACATGCCCGGAAAGAAGTTATCTATTTCGCGAGTAACGTTTAAAATGTGTCGAACACTGTAAACATAGAGAATGAATTAGAATCAATGGAAATGGCACGGTCTTTTACCCATTTTTTTGTAATTCTTCCAAATTACTAGCATTCCATTCTGATCCTAAATAAACATGCTCAAAAATTTCGGTGGGTGCATCCATTTGTCCCAGAATGATTAGCATTTCCTCGTCGATAAATGATTTATATTCTCCCAAATCCATGTCAAGATGTTCTTCTAAACGGCTGCGTATGTACTTTGAAGTCACCTCGTCTAAATCAACAGACATCATAATTTCTTTTAATTTCATTTTTATTACACTCTCTGTTTCTTCTTTAGCCGTAGGTCTAAATGTACATAGAATTATAAATCGGGGAAAACAATATTATATTGATGTACAAACTTATTTCTTATGGCATCAGGTGAAGGCGGACGTCGACTCTCTAACGAATCCATTGCATTCCATTCATTCAAGCATGACTGATCCGATTCTATGCGCTTTTCATAATATGTCAGCCAATCATGTGAAGGACCGCCGGGATAAAAATTATTCTCACGGGCCTTTTGCGAAACTTTATGTAATGTTTGCAAAGCGGACCTAAAATCCAACAGACATCCGCTAATTAGATTCTCATTTGTGCGGAATGTGAGGGATGGCATACTTACCACATTGCTTGCACTGATACTGGCTTAAAGATGTGCGTTTTTCCATATACGGAAACACTAAATCCACTAAAAAGTTTTATCAATTATCGAGCATTCAATAAAGACAAAATGTGCATGTATACAACATACCCATCGCCATCTAAATGAATTGTGGTATCTGCTAGAATAGGCACGACGAGTCCAACAGTTGTTCGTTCATTACAATCTATGCCTAGCAAACAGGACTCCTCTATACCTTCGCATTCCTCGGAGGAAGATGATGTTGGCGAGGAAAATGTTAAGGTTGAGTTAACAGTTGGCGCTTGTACTAGTTTTGCGCTATCACCGGAAGCATATAGATTTTCTGTTACATCACATTTAGCACTATGACGGTTTATTAAACTCTCTTCAATATGCTTTGACTGTTGCATTGAAGATTTACAGCTGTCCACTGATAACTGACGGTTAGCAGTAAAGGTTGCTGCAAGCCGCGTCCCTGTTGTCGATGACACATTCATTCTAGCTGAATTATGACGCATTATCCTATTACGTTTTTCGTTAATGCCAGGGCGATAGCAACAACGTGAAGCAATCACCAAATATCTAGTACGATTGGCACGCTGCGATTCTAATTTTACAGCCTATAAAAACAAACGATATCCAATCAAACATTAGAAACAAGTCTGTAATATTAAATGTTACCATCTTTAGGGTCTCTTCATGTCTTATTAAGTAAAACATGGATTGTAAATGTTGTTGTATATCCGAATTATTACTTTGTGTACTATTTGTTGATCGTATAGAGTCTGTGCTCAAACGACGTTCAGAGTATTGAGGAATATCGTTTAGCGCTAATACTAAAGCCGTCCCTTTGCCAGCAAAGAAACACTCACTAAATAAACAAACGAAAAAAACTGTTATCTTTTATAAAACTCTAATTACTAAACCAATACTACTAACCTCTTCTCATTTTTGGATCCTTCATCATCCTCGGCTTCGTTATCCTGTCGAATAAGTTAAAAATAATTCAATACAAAAATTGCCTTAAATGGCTACAACAACAGAATGCATATATATCTATATATATAAAGCAAATTTGAGGTGTTCGGAAGGTATTAATTACAATATATTGAAATTTTGGATTAGTTTCGGCAAAGTTTCAATTTACTATTTTTTATTATGTAATTTTTTCGAGACAAAATTGTCTACACAAAATATTTTATTTTAATTTAATTTTCAATCAAACCAATTTTGTCGCAATATTTTGTTTATTCTCGGCAACTAAATGTGTGGATGATTTTCGCTTCAAAAAATGGAAAAATTTTCAAGAATCCACTAATTGACTGACAGTGACATAAGCGTGGCGGATAAGTTTTATAAGAAATTTCGCCTTTGATAAATCCAATTTTTTAATAATATAACAAAAAAATATTTAAGTAACCGAAAATAATAAAAATATCATTAAAAATTTTCGTATCCTTTTGTAAATAAGCTATTTGTCTGCCGTATGATTATGAAAAGAAGCACAGGTATAAGACTATCATTAAAATATTTTCTTTACTTTTAAACTGATTGGTGGAACTTATTGTAAGTGAATGTGATGAGATTTCCATGTTAGATATTTGCGAACTAATCTTAGAAATAGTGCAATTTTACTGACTCAAAGCTAAAAATTGGCTATGTCCTAAGTCGTATGAAGACGCGACGGAAAGCTACATGTAGAATTACAATAAGCGGATGGAGATCAAAAAGGAGCATTTGCAAAATCGATATCCAATTTAAAAATTATTTTAGACTGGAATGTGGCATATTGAAAATTACATGTATATAGGTTTAAATAGGATCTAACCAACCGAATTAGAAAATCTTGCATTTGCCTAAATTCGATTACTGGACGCATAATATATCAGCAATGTAAAGTTATTTAACCAGTGTAATTTCAAGCACCATCTTACCTTACGCAATGTAGAGGAATTCAGAGAACTTCTGGTAAGAAGATTAATACATTTCAACGCATCTAGTGTATCTTTTGCTAATGTATGTTTCCAATCTTTACCCTTCTTCTTTTTTCAAAGAAGAAACGATACTTTATTGCATTTCAGTCATTACAAATCAGTTGGCTATTCACTTTGGAAATATCATTGCTCGACTCATAGCTACTAAATCAGTTGCAAATTTCTCTCTGGGAATATGGGAAAATAGGCGCAACTTAGGTTAAGCGTTCTCAAAAAACAAGAGGGCGTTAAGGATAGCACTGCTAAAAAGTGCACCACATAACTCAGTAAACTATTAAGGCCTGTTTTGCATAAGTCATAATCATGTGATATATTTGATAACGACGAAATCTTACAATGACGCTTATAAAATTCTGAGAAACATTTGAGGTAATCAGTGCGTACTTCTAACCGAAGTAGGTAAAGTTTAATTCAGTATCTGACGCTATTGCAAGAAAACAGGCCGAAGAAGTAATAAATTAAGTTCTTCCTACGATGATATTTTAAATGAATCCCGCATTTTGAAAATTGCTGTGATATTCAGTTCCATATCGTTCTTTTATTGACAATTTTATTTAATTAATATTAAAAGTATTTATCTTTTTTGAGCGCTGACGATCACGAAAATATGTATATAATAAAGAATACTCTTACGTGTTGGTTTATCTTATAGATATTATTAAGCATATATGAAAACATATACCTTAGCTAGACGGAAGCCTATTGCATACCTTTATTTTAGAATTCATATCAACAAAACTTTAAACAAGGCCAATAAGGCAGGGTTTAAGAAGTTTTTACATGTTAGGTGACCGTAAAAAGCAGTGTAATATTCAATTTCTTAAAAATAATATCTATTGTACACAATCCGCAACCTATGAATAAAGGCAACTATCGAAACCAATGAAAAGCGAGTACAATTGAAAAAAAAATAAAATTATAGGTTGTAAGAACTTTAATGTAAATTGCGGTTATTATCTTACGCATATCCTGAAAAACGTGATTTACCGAATAGCGCAACAAGAGGACTGAATAGGGGAAAATATATTGCAATTTCTGTTTTCTTGCCAACAAACTGATATAAGAACACGCAACAGGAAAGTCGGAATACAACGCAGGACATAAACAAATATATTGAAAAAATCCAACTGTAAGCAAAAAAAAAAAAATGTAATTAATTCACGAAAATGGATCCAAAATAAAGAATGAAATAAAGATGAGTAATTTCGTCAAACCCCTGCGTTATTTCACGTTTACGATACATACGTTAACTTACAGGAATCAATGTAGCTAAATTACAGTGGAAATAAATTGAAATTAGTTGCCAATTAAAAGCAATTGTAGCAAAACGGTATTTTCCGGAAATTTATAAATTTTCTAAGTCACAGAAATTGCACTTTTATTTTCGGATCAGTCCCCTTGTAGTCCTTTTCCTTGATCTATTTCCACGTAAGATATTGCAAACGCATTGTTCGGTATCACTGTTTGTTCTAGTCGGCTCTTACCGAATTGGAGCATTGAGGGGATCCAGCAACGCTTGGCGAACGCTGCACTGTAACTAGTGCCATTATTAGAAGAGTCGTTCTATCTTTTAGTACTGGCAGTTATCGCCCAAGTAGCGAGTCCAACTATTTGGATTTTTAATTTTTTACCCGTCAGTTTTACACAGATTTGCTGACTTCTATCGTTCTCATTTGTTGCACAGATGCATTTTCCAAAAATTCTAATTATAAACATAAACACTTGCTTTTCCTGTAGCCATTGGTAACGGTCCAAATTAATTACGTTTCAATGGATGCACTTTCAATTTTCTCACAAATTTTCCTTCAATAACTTATAACAAAAGAAAATATCGTAATCTTTCATTTTTTTCACAAACACACATATACGTACTCTTTGGAGAAAAACATTAAACACGACGCCATGTTTATGCTTCAAATGTCAAATAATATAAGTAAGAAGATGGTAACAATATCAATAATAACAGTTGATTAAATATGTTGTTATAATAAAATATGAACCTCCCGGCGCGTGAACTACAAAACGAACTTGACCAATGCTATTAATTTTATTGGGTAACTATAACCAAGAATTTGCATTTAAAATTTGGTATTATTTTATCTAAAAAGAATGTGGAAGTAAATATATTCCCACATCTGGTAAACAGTCTCGTTATAACGATGCGTGATTGTTGTTTTGGGAGTAGGATTTCAACTTGTACAACTTTTTACGAGACTTTATGGGTATTTGGAAAGTTTTATTCGATGTTTCATTTCGTTAATTAATTAAAAAATTTAAATGATTGCACATAAATTTTTGGTAAATGTTCATACATTTGTACTTACGGAATTTTTCTTACTTTATATTAGTTGTTTTATTAAATGTATTATATGTATGTACCGTCACTTTTATTAAATGTATTCGAAAATTTGTCCTTATGGTGACACCCGTTAATAAAAAAATTTGAACATATGTTTTAAATTCATTAATAAATTGTCTTTATTGCGTTTTTTTTATGTTTTGAGAAATAATGTGTAGTATACATTGATAAAGAATGTTAAAATAGTGTAAATGGTATGTAAAATACTTAGCTCTTAAGTTTGAAATAAGTCGTTTTTATTTGACTATCTGGCTACAACGGCACCGTAATGCAGAATTGCTTCGTTTTTATTGTGAGAATAAAAGTTGAACATATGGGGATTGACACAATGAAGCTTCGCTTATATATCCCGGGCTAGGAAAGAAATTCAAATGATAAATTTTTCATAAAATGGTAGATAAATTTAGTTTATAAATGTTTCTCTATGTTGTTTACATAGTATATAAATGTTTTTTTTTTTTTTTTGGGGGGGGGGGGGGGAGATCTTGTGTTAAGGTGAACCATAAACCTATGTTTAGAGCCTATGACGGCTGACACAATAACGTTGGGCTTGTATTCCCATAAATTAAATAAGCAAGTAGTAGAAGTCGCGTTTGCCTGCCTTACAATATCATTTTATAAGAAGTAAGCAAATCTGTGTAAACAGCTAAGTTATGAATCACGAGAACGAATGATCATTTGATATTAATTTATTTTAAATTTAGAAGTTATTTATTTAATTTAAGTTAATTTAAGTTTTGTTTATGCTACCCAATTTCAATATGTAGATTTCTAATCAAAACATTGAAGCAATTCTTTTGTTTTATTTAACTGCGTCAGTGAAGTTCAATAATGAATCAAAAATTTAACTTCCTTTAAAATAAATTTTTGGGATCGTTGGGTTTCATATATTTATTGTTTACACTCACTTCGATTTTTTGATTTTTTCTTTTTTAATGTAGCAGCGGGTCTACCGACTGTGTGTACCATTTGTGAACTTTTAGTCCGAAAAATAAAACACTTCAGTTCCCTAAATTTCAAGTAATGAATAGTTTAATAATAGTAAATAGCTTTTAAACAATATAATAAATTTAAGAAGATTATGGAAATGGAGATAGGCAAGAAAATCGCAGCAATACTCATATGTTGTTTTAAATTTCAATAATTTTTATTTGCCTTCGTTAATAAAAAAACACATTTTGCATTTGGTTATTGCTAGACGTTTGTATTACATAGCTTTTATATTAAAATATGTATTAAGGTTATTGTATTTAGGTTGCCTTAACTATTTCGTTACCTAGGTTGCTACAAAACACTATGGTTTTAAAATGACATTAAATTGTATATAGGTTATAACTAGAATTACATTAAAGTAGGTCATAGTGACCTTGGCTTAATTTACGGCAAGCTTTACATAGCGATAAATATGCAAAAATTAAATTAAAAATAAAATAAGTAGTAATAATAGTTATTGGGAAGAATGATCATGTAAGTTCATGGTTGCAATTATATGATCAGTCTTGAACATAATTATTATTTCGTTATTTAATTTGCAATTTAGATTTCTTATGTATATATCGTTTTAAACTGTTTCCTAAAAAAATGCTTCTTTAAATATATATAAATCTTTTATTATTTTATATATATTTATCTATTATTTCTATCTGTTTGGGGCCCTTACACTTAGTATTGTATTTAATTTTTGTATGATTTTTACGTAAAATTTCCGTTTTACCTTTATTATTTGTAACTTTAACACTAAACGTACTATGCGCGGTCAAATAACCGTTTTTAAAATTTTGTTTAAAATTTCTCGCATTCAACGTTATTGTATCATCATGTAGCTTATTGACTTTTCGTAAAATTTACATACATCGAAAAGCGGGGAACGAGTTTTTATTGTAGCATCAGAAAAATATTTTGTTTACTTTCTACTTTACTAAGGTACATACGTTTTTTTGAAGCGGTCATTTGACCGCTTATGGTAGGATGAATTGTCGGTACGTTTAGTGTTAACGTTAATTTTACGTTGTAGTTCTGTGAACTTTTGCAGTCTTATATATTAACATTGTAACTTATGTCTTAGTTCGCTGATTAACAAAATGAAACTGAAAGTTCTATATCGAAATTATTGATAGCACGCATACGGTATTTCTAACCTATATTTAGATTCCTTAGCGTAAATTTCTATAAAGTGGTTGAATTTTATTTGTGTTATTGCCGTTTTTTATACGTTTGGGAGACCTTTTGAACAATAGTTCATAAGGGCTCAATCGTTCAGTTAAATACGATTATATATGAAGAGCTTCATAGGTCCGGGGTTCAGAAACAAAATTTGCGAAGATTGCCTTTGCTACAGTTTTGGAGTACTGACCTGTAATTGGGATTGTTACCAAATATTTGGTAAGGTCGCAGATCAGTGACATTGCGTGTTAGTTGACGTTTTCAGTTTTTGGTGGAGGCCCGATGGTGACAATGACTACTATGTCAAAAACAGCTGGTGCTGGTGTTAATGTCATGTGGGTTTTGGTATTTGTTGCGGTTTAAGCCATTTGGCATTGTGGTAACTCTTTGACATATTTAGCTGTTGTTTTTATTATTTGCGATCAATGATATATGACCGTCTTCAATGGGATAGTTGTGATATCTCGTCAGAATTTGTTTGATTTCACACTTATTATTATATCCATCACCGAAGGACTATTCATTTTGTCATAATGTTTGCAACACGCAAAAAGAAGTTTCAGAGACCCTACAAAATCTTGATCAGCGTGAAATTCTGAATCAATTAAGCTTTGCCTGCCCATCTGCATGTCTGTGTTGTTAACACTCGCCTGCTCGCGAAAATGAAATTGGAAGTTCGCAATGCTTCCAATGAGAAGCATTGGAAGTTTCTATGCGCAGCTTGGTATTCAAAATTGGCAAAATTGTAAAGAGCACATGGCCGGGTTAAAGCGTTAATTGAACTGAACTTCATTTCTTTAAGTAAAAAGTAGTGGGTTTTTGCTAAGGCTAATATTCGCTGCATTTACTTTGCGGAAAAATCTACTATTTATGTTCAAAAATAGGTCATGCCCACACAAAGTTATAGGGGCCATGCAGAGCAGAATGCAACAAGTTAAGCATGTTCATTCTATATTAATTATGGTAGATATTTTGCAACGAAAAGGTGGAAAAAAAATTTTATCCCGTTTGGTTTTTTATAACCATAAATATGAGTATGAATATAAATATACATAAGTATATAAGTAATATTATAATGCCGATATAAAGCGAATATACAAAGAAATTCAATAAGGTATATACCAATATAAATGTAGGTATATCTGAGCATATAAGTAAATATTGGTATGAAGCAGTCGCTTCCTTATAATGTGTGGAGCTATTTTTAGCCCGTAGGGAAGTCGCGCGTGGCGATATGAGCTATTGCTTGTTGAAAAGGGCTTCGCGATTTCTCTTCAAGTTCGATTTGATGAAATCCAGAGATTAGATCGAAATACGAGATGTATTTGGCTCTTTCTAATTGATCAAGAATGTCTTTTATTCTCAACTGCTAGCAGTTTTTTTTGACGAAATCCCAGTACTTAACGCCATGTTTTCTCGTTGGCATTTGGCAAAAGTGGTATGGTATTAATAAATGTGGACTCTTATATTCGGATATACTCATTTCAAATATGTCATCTTTGATGAGCTTAGTGATTTATTTATCTATTTCTGACTTTTGCGGTTCAGGGATTCGGTAGTTTTTAATATACGCTGGTGTTTTATCGTAAGCCTTTGTTTATAGAAGTTATTTGAGCTCATTTTTTCGGTTTCAATGTCGAAGATATGACAGACTTCTGTACATAATTCCGTTGGTGGTTTATTTAAATATTGTGAAACACTTTTTACAATTTTTTTTAATACTGTTGCTTTTCTCTTTTCTATTCGACAGCTTGTACCTAAGATTTCTGTATTATTGAGGGACTCAAACCACGTCCCTACTGTTCGTGGGTGTGTCAAAAATGGTACTGTTAATGACTCTGGTGAAGGAACTTTTACTGCCTACAATAGTGGTAGCATCTATTATGCCTGGTTGGAGTTCTTGATTTGATACCAACACCAATGTTTCATTGGTAGGTAGTTCTATTTGTCTAATCATTTCTGATTCTGCGGGTGGTGGTAGTGTGTTCTGTTTGATCACGTGTGTTAATGAGATTTGTACGTTTGCTTAGAAGTTTCTAGGCCGTATTGTGAGAATATCATTTTGGAGATATAGGATATATATACATTCCTTAACGAAGTCAGATTGTTTAACTGTGCATTTTATATTTACGTTACAGTATTGGTTTTATGAATAAAAGTGGTATTTGGGCATCACTGTCTACTAAAAAAGTTAGTGTGTAATTTGTTTCTACGTTTTTGACTTCTATGAAGTTGGTCAAGCTGAGCTTGAGATGATATTTCCTAGATATTCTTGGTCGCTCAAAAGAGTTCTTCATTTCCCGAGTTTGTAAGTCTCATATATTGGTGATCTCTCATCCGTGTGTGAATGCCATTATTTCGGCCTCTCTTGTTGTTGTTATTATTAGTACTGTTTTTTTCTGCGGATTATAATGGCTGG